AATGAACAATAGAAAAGCTCATCTATGCAATAAAAACTTGATTTATTCTATTCCGTCTTCTATTAATATTTTTAACTTTGCTTAATTTATTATTTTCTATACGTTAGATTATTTATTTGCTTAATTAAATTCTTGTATTGAGCAATGAGAGCATCGGCATGTTTATCATAATTAGCTATTTACTAAGAATTAAAAACAATTTAAAATCATAAATACATAAGAAAATTTTCAAAAATACCGCATTCCATACGACATTTCCTAAATTCAATAATGCTAAGTTTACTGATCAAGTTGCAAAATGGAATTCAATAGCGAAATACTTACACACAACGTTCGAATTCACGTATTAAATACTTTGTTATAAATAAGTACTGGGAATTCAAATAAGTTCTAATATTTTTTATTCTAAGTGTCATTTATTTCATCCTCATATTTTTTTTCATAAAAAGTAAATTAGGATGTTTGCAAATGAATTTTTACTTTCCCAGTTGTTATAACAAAACATTTGGCAATCCGGCAAAAAAAAAATTAACCCCACAGATTTTTTACATTTTTGGACTTAGGATACCTTTAAACGTCGAGAAATGCAGAAAATTTCGGGGGTAATTTCTGTATGTATGGATGTTAGTGTATGCGTGTTATGTAGAATAATTTTGTTCACCCTCTTTGACGTTTAATTAATAACTCCTGTGATTTGTCGAAAATTTCTGAACTTTTGCGGGAGGTTTTTGTTTATTAGAGGAATTGATGCTATTATATTTTAATGGTTAAAGGTCGAGGGGGTGGAGAGATAATGGGGGTCGTGTGTATCTCCAGTAGGGTCGGACTATATGACGATTTTACTCGTTATTAGCATTCACAATTTTTTAAATAAAATTCATCCCTACCCTCAAAATTAAGCGTTTTGCCATTTTATAAATAGTTAAAAATATAAGTTTTAAAAATTAAATATGATAACAGATGACATCCCGAAAATGTTGCCGGAAAAGTTGAGCAAACTCGTTGCTGGTTTATTTTGTCAGTATTGACAAATAAATTTCTAGATTTCCTGAATATGATGTGTTGTGATTTTTTTTAAAAATATTATTATAAGCAGATATTAACTTGATTTTATCCAAGAATCTATCAAACTTCAGACAACATTGAGAACGATCATTAGGAAGTCAAAAGAAACTGGAGTCAATTCTCCATGTCTCCATGTTCATACAGTATATATACTGTACACACAACTTATACATATACACACATGTATTTGATAAAATATAGGGGAAAACATGTTTCGTTTTGCTTAATACTAAAAGTGAGAAGGTTGACTTAAGTAAACCATATAAACGAATTATGAAAGTTATTAAACAACAGCTAACCTAATTACTCAATTTAGATTGAGACACTAATAAATATTGAAAAGAAAATTAAACACAATCGATATTTCGTTAAACTGATTATATAAACTATATACTTTTTTTCTATTCAATTTAATTATTATTATATAATTCATACAGTCAATTATCAGAAATTATACAAGGCAAGTTATCAAAAACAAATTTTCGAGTTTAAAAACTCGAGGACAGTCTCACGAATAAGGCATTTAAAAACAGGAACAACGTATGAAGTCATTATATATATAAAGATTGTGATGTCATTTACCACTATGACGCAATCAACAATTTTTCAATTGGTGACCTACTCACAAGACCTTATATGCGAGACTAGAATACATTATTTTTGCTTATTAAAATGATAAATACGGATCACAATAAAGTAGTTTATCAGATTTATGGTAAAATGAACTTTAATATATATTTAAAATTTAATAAAATTATTCTAATATGAAAACTACAAATTCAAATATTTTGTACATTTGAAACAAATGAATACAAAATGCTACAATAATTATATTATAAGGTTTATATGCAAATTACATTATTTCAATTAATTTTAGCACATGCAGAGTTTGCTTTTTTGCTTTTAATTAAAATCAATATAAGAGATAACGCAGAAAGTAATAAATAATAAAATTTATTATTAAAAATAAAACTTTTGCAGATTAAAAATTAACATCATCGAAATAATTAATAATTAACCTCATTTGAAAATATTTAAAGTAGTTTAAATTCGATTAATGATTGTATTAACTTTATTTTTCACGTGTATTTATAATCTTACATTATTGTAAGTTAGTAAGAATTAAATGTACAGTATAAATATTTTATATTATATCGTATTCACATTAGTTTCTACACATGTTTAAAAGTTCAATAACCTAAGTAACCACGCCTTCAATAATTTTTTTCTCGTGAATATCCTATAGTTAAATCGCTCTTTCTTAAAATCGATAAAGAATAAAGCTAAATCTGATCCAGTTTCTTAATATTAATAAATTTTTGTATATACGTATATTTAGTTATATTTTTAAAAGCAGTACAAATCCGAAAACCTAGCTAAATTCTTCAGAATGTTCAAATGTTTGGATAATAACTTTACAACCTTAATAGAACGATAAGATAACTGAAATAGTATTATTTAGAGCTCATCCTAACAACTAAGCAGCAAATAAACAGTAAAGTACAGAATTAGATTTTAACTTGTCTTTACTATACAATACCAACCAAAAAAAATAAGAACAAGGGAACTGCAAAGTCGGTGAGAGAGAGAACAGCACGAAAGTCTACTTGATCTCAAGGTCGTAAGTTAATTACAACCGGACTAGTTCACGGAACTTTGAAACCTTTCTAAGGAAATAGAAATTAAAGGAGAACTTAAAATTTTCAAATTAATACTGGTCCAAGAAAAAGCATCCATTATTCTCCATATATTTGGTATTGTACATCCTGATGGCTTATTTACTAATGTAGGCCTATGTATTATAGTAAGTTATTCTTTATATTTTAGTATTGTAAAATATTTTTTATATTCATTTAAAAATTAAATTTATTTTTCATCTCAGCATAATTAATGTCAATAATCAAAATCAAAAACAGAATAAAAGCCATATGGTTTACTAAACATTGATAATAATGCATATTAATCATTAAAAGCTTAATTGAATTTAAACATTTTTATTAAATATTTTTTCTATTAAATTTAAAGTATTCGAAAAATGTGTTTCATAGGTTAAAAACAGGCATTATTAATAAACTTGGTCTTAAAATATTTTACATCTGGGTGCCATCTGCTAGAAAATCGTTTAGTCTAATATTTCAGAAATAATTTTCTTATGATTTTAAATAAAATTATTAAAATACTGAACCGAAATTGTTAATATTTAAATTTCTGGAAGTTATTTTTACAAATTGAAAATCGCAAGCCTTCTATTCAGGTTTTAATAAGATTCGTGTAATATTAAAAATTTAATTAAGGAGTTTTGTTAACTGCAATAAGAAAATTATACCGATATATTATATTAGAAATTTGTTTAGTTTTCTACATGGATACAAGTAATATGAAATCATTTAAAAACGGTTTAATAAATATGTATTTTTCTTAAAAGATTAATTTATAGATAACAAATAGTTAAAGATTAAAAATAATATACCATATTTTAACAGAGATGAATAAAGTATTTATATTATAAATAATATATTTTTATAAGACTACCTCCAAGTATTTTCAAATATTTGAATAGTTGCATGTAAATCAAAATGTAAAACTGCTAAAAATATCTTCGTTTTTGACACATGCTGCTACTTACGCAGCAAAATAAGAGCACAGGTATAATTTTTAAAATAATTCATTGCTATTTTCTATCAAAACGATAGTGTGTGATCATTTTGAACGGATAATTTAATAATTAAATTTACAATAATATTAAGGTTGACCCGATTTAGAAGACTATTCCATATAATACAAAACAGAATATTTATTTGATTTTCTATTAGACTACTGGTATGAGTTATCGTCTGTCTTATTATATAGTTAAAAACAAAAAATAAATAATTGGATATCATTTCAACGCTCATAATTTAAATTTTGTATGAAAAAGAAACCACTTTACGTAATAAATGCAAAACAAAACTGACTGAATGTGATTCATTTATAATGTCGGGGTTTTCAAGGACAAACTGAAACCTTGAATTTCTACTAGATATACAGGCCTATATTTAATTTCAAGACTTGTATCGAACAAATTAGCATAAAACAATTACATTAACACATATAATACACACACAACTTACATAATACATAAAGTAACACTAACGAATTTAATTTATATTTTCACTTATAAATTACGTATTATGATCGCCGAAAATCAACACAATACCACGTTTTAAAACATTCCATTAAAAAGAGAAACTGAGCATTGAAAATAGCCAAGTTATAAATAAAAATGAAACTATTAATTCAATTCATGAATAGATTAATATAAAATTATCGTAACAATCATGAAAATGCAACAATACGTTGACATTAATTCTAAACTTTTTTTTTTAAAAAAAACTAACACCTGTTTAAGTGTTTTCGTTTTGAAATAACCATTTGCCACACCCATGGATGATAGTCCTTCATTTCATTTCGGCTCTAAAAAATTGTGAAAAAACACACTCACACAAACACATTTTATGCATCTCGTTCTATAAACCAGTTTGGTGTTTATGATTTGCGAAACAGGCGCCTAATTTCATTCTTTTTCTTTCAAGACAAAGGCAAAATTATGTCAAAGTTTTAAGTACTCACCCTCTCACTTCTCAGTAATTGTAATTGGCAAACATCCAAGCGAAATTTGTTTCGAGTGGCATACCATTTCGTTTAACACTATGTTTAAACAACAAATCTATATTCGGTAATATTCTGGTATATTTCTCGATAAACAATTCAATTCAATAATTGAAAAATGATATACGAAAATAAACAAACGTAACACACGTTTCTAATTTTATATAAACGTTACAGTGTTATTTTTAAATATTTAAAACTTAAACAATAGTGTTTAGATATAACACACATATGACATAAGACAATACTTATAGTGTATTTATGTCAATTACAGAGCACTGACTTACCCAGAAAAGAAAGTTAAAGATGATAACCAAGTATTTGATGCATGCGTAACAACCTTGTAACGCCATTTTTTAAACGATACGATTCTCTTCGATCTATCGCACGAGAAAAATGGAATAAACAACCAGAAACTAACTCCAACTTTAATTACTGCTACCAAGCAGGGCGCTGATCTAAAAACGAACGGGAGCATGCGCACTGACTTCTACCTCTCTAAAATTCGTCTACATCTGGTGACAGATTTTGGAATTATTATTATTATATTTTTTTCCGCCTCCATTTAATACGTATTTTACTCTCTTTTCTATAAATTAACATCTCGTTAGACATCGAAATAATATTAGAAATATTTATTAGTATTAAACGTGTTTTAAGAAAGTAAATTCTAAAAGCAAATTTTAATTTATAAAAGAGAATTAATTACTCACGTTCTGACAAAGCGTAGGCGATGAAGCCGTTATATTTTAATAAATAATTAACGCGGTCTAATTTTATTAAATTAATTTTTTTAATGTATATATTTGTAAGTCGTATATCTTGTTATATTTAAAATTATTTTAATTAATTTAATACAATTATATATTATACATTACACTTTTAATAAGGATATTTTTAAATTTTTTTTTTTTTTTTTTTTGCGTGTATTAAGCGCTTTCAGAATTAATCACGATATAAAGAGATATAGAAAAAGTTTTTTCTGGATCTATTTTTAAAATTAAGATAATTTTTAATAACTTTTTTTGAATTTTAAATTATTTCTAATTTATCGTTATTAATAAGAGAGTAGGGGATATAAAAATAATATTTTTTAATTTTTATAACAATATTTAATCTATTTTCTGCAAATAAAATTGTGACATTTAAATAGTTTTATTTTTCGTAAAAGCTACTTTTAAGTATATTTTTAATCTTGTTTCCTGTCAAATTAACGAATTTCTTTAATAGATAAAGTAAATAACTTAAAGCTACCGGATTTTATATGTGTGTACTTAGGAAAAAAATTTTTCTATTTATACAATGTAACATGATTTTGACAAAATTGAAAATGCAAACTTCATTTTTCTGATTTAGAGTTTGATTTTAAATTTAAAACGCTACCGAATGCGAAGACAATGAAAAACAGGTTAAAAGTTTTTAAATGTTTACACAAACGTTTCATCTGAAGTACGAATATTAAAATAATTTTCAAATGAAAATGAAAAAGTAGCAGTAAATTTATTCCTCGATTTTAATTAAAATTCAATGGAAAACTGTTATTGTTACTAATCCGCACTTCCTAGAAATATGTACTACGCTATCGTATTCATAAATTAAAGTTTCATTTTCTTTTTTTGTGTGTATTAAAATTTCATACATTATAGTTTATTTTAAAAATATTATTCGTCGTACAAACGATTTAATCTTCGAATATTCGTTAAAATTTATTATTAATTGTAATAATTCATTTTAATACATTGGTTAGCTGAAATATAACATTTATTACTGCCAACTTGAAAATAATTTATTATTTTAATTATTATCATTAAAATTTAAAGTTTTCATTAAGCTTATTATTAAATTTGTATAAGAATAAATAACGATTTAAAGTACTTGAACATCAATACGTATTGATTATAAAAGAAGAAATTTTAAAAAGACAATTCAATATTTAGATTGGCGTTTAAGATAGTTCCTTATAGTACCGCACACGGGTAGATTTTGTAACCCGTAATTTGGGAAAAATTCTTAGGTTTCTAAACTGAGGTCTATTCTTCTGATATTTATTCGACAAGACGATCAACTTTTGGATTATAACTTATATTATTAATAAAACAGACTAAAGAATAGGGGAAGGCATTTTGATATTGCAGAAAGCAGTGGCGTAACTAAGATTTTGCTCTGGGTGGTGATCTGGGAGGATTATCTAGAAAGTATAGTCGAAATGAAGAAAAATTACCCCTCGCTACCGACAAATGAGTGTCCCTTATATACCCACTAGACAAATGTTCTAGAATAAAATTCAATTTTAGATCCGTTGTTTAAGATAAATATTAGTTTAAAATTTATTTCTAAGCCCTCTGGGATCCAACTCTCCCAGATCACCCTCCTTAACTCATTACGCCTTTTTGGCACTAAGAGGAACTCGTTTTAGCAAGCCCATTATGGGTTCGGCCAGGCCCACAATGGGATGGCCGGGTGGAGAGGGACTAGGCCTGACATATCCAGGCAGTTCTCCCCGATGGGGCAGCTGGATTTGATCCCGGATTCCCCAGAGCGGTAAACTGCCACCTTGACCGCTCGGCCATCTGGCCCCAATCATTAATACATGTTAAGGTACATTACGAAACACGGACCGGATGGTCGAGCGGCCAAGGTGGCAGCCTACCGCTCTGGAGTACACGAGATCAAATCCGGACGGGTCGATAAATCCCTAGAAAATTTTCGGGGTGTTCCGTCCGGATATGTCGGGCTCCGTTACTGTCGCCCCACTGTGGGTCTGGCCGAACCCATAATGGACTTGCTAATGGACGCCCTCTTAGTTCCCTCGGGGCGGAAAGAATTAAGTTCGATCCTACTCGAGATATGACAGGACTCTCTTTATTTCCCCACTACCTCGACCTTTAACCAACAAAATTTAATACCATCCGTCCCTTAACACACAAATCTCCCTGCATAATTTCAGAAATTTTCGATAAAAAGCATAGGAGTTATTAAGTCTCAAAGAGAGTGAACAAAATTGTGCTCCCCACACACATTCATATGTACAGAAAAAAATACCTGAATTTTTTTATTTTTTTGCGTTTCTGAACGTTTCAAGTTCCCGAGTCCAAAAATGTAAAAATCTTGGGGAGAGGAGTGATTTTTGACTGATCGTCATATTTTCCCTCTGTTACATATAACAGAGCCGGGAAAGTGACAATAACGCTACGTCGCTGTTACGAGGTGGAATTTCTAACCTTAAAGGGAAAAACTTTTTTATAAAATGTCATAGACAGAATAATGCTTTAATTGAATATGATTTTTACATGAGATCAGCTGAAGATTGTTAAAGCATTTCTAGTTTTTCCTCCCTGTTTGTTGACTTGAGTTGAAAGAGATGGGTCAGGAGTTAGGAAATCAGTCTCTGTGTTATATTCACACGAGGATAAATAATTGACAATGTAACGGACCAAATTTTGCTTCTAATCGGCTTTTGTTTTAGTTATGACAAAGCATATAACGTGATCAGGGATGCCAGACGTCTTGCAATGCGCGGACAGTCCTGCAATCTGTGCATTGCTTATAGACCCTAAGGAATTAATCAGCATCCTGCTAGAATTTCATTTGTCCTGTTAAACTATTTCAAAAGTGAGGATGTTACTATGCGCCTCAATCAGAACTGGATAGCAATAATGGGTCTCGAAGCGCAGATGTTTTCTGATGTGACGTTCTCCGTTTATCACATTTCTTTTTCACCTTTTAAGTACTTGTAATTACGTGTATATAAATTAATTTTCTAGGCTAAAATTTTATTATACAGATTCTGGTTTGATTCTCTACACGAACGGCTTCAGGGCAGTAACCCCAGCCTTTTCTTCCTCTCGTCGGCTCTGTTCTCAATGAAATTTATAAGGTGATATATGCTATATAATGACAAAAGCATTTATTATTAAGATACAAGAAAAAGTAATACCATAAGTTTTAACCATATTTACTTGATGGTCTAAGGCTCTAAGCCATAAATTAAGACGTCGTCCAGTGGCACCCCTAGACTATAAAAAACGTGGGCACGAGCTATAAAAAGGGACATCGTACGTTATTCAAGAAGTTTGAAACTTTACGATTCAATGTCGGATCAGCGCTCCCACAATGTGATGCTGATTGCACTTGGGGCTAAATTGACCTTGAAACAAGAAATGTGGTTTTGATTAAAGTACGATGACGTCGCATAGAACAATGGACAAATATTGCTCATTAGTTTTCTTTTTACATCTACATAATAGGCTAGATATATGAATTTTTTTTATTTGTTGATAATGGAATTTGGGACCGTCTTGGGGATTAGGAAAAGGCGCAACCCAGACGAAAAAGGGAGGACACGTACAGTACCCCAATGTACGGGTGCCTCTGGCATCGGCCTATCGCTCTGAAGAACAGAATCGAATCCGGACGAAGAAATTTTCACGGGTGATCTGTCCTCCGTCAATCACCAGTTCGCTGCCCGCATGTAATCTCGCTGAATCCATGATGAATTTAAGCTCTCTAGAAAAAGCTCTCTTACTTTCAACAGGATGGAAAGAGTTAAGGAAAAAATACTGGCTAAGACTGAACAATTGCACGTTATCAGACACATTTAGAGGGTGACAGATTAAAAATGCCTATTTACCCGAACATAATGAGAGCTATAACCGAATTCTGACTACAATAAGCAGAGGTTTATTAATGTATTGTAACTAACATGTTCTGAGGCAGGTAAAAAACTGATAACATTAAGTAACTGATAAAAGTATCATCGATTACAGTAAGTAGAATCTACTGTTTTCGAATTATAGAACAGATCGGCCATTACCGAGAGTGGCGCCATCTTTCAACTATAATATTAATTAGTACTTTAACGGTTATTTAAAAATCTAGTAATCATTTATATAAGAAACTTTTTTATTTCCTTTAGAGTGTACAACCAAACATAGGGATTAATAAATGAAAAGTAAGTATATTAATAACAAAAATATGATTTTATTTCGGATAAATTTAGGTGACAATTAACAATAATTTAATATAACTCTATATAAGCAATTATTTATTGTGATATCGTGACAACGCCGGGCTGCAATTTTTAATCACATTTTTAATTTATTTAATTTAAAATATATGCTCTCCACCTCAAATTACTATTGTAGTGTCTTGCCCCTGTACATCATACTTTTCCTTTAACAATAGAGTCGTGCCGGTAATCTATTAACTACTTTCAGGGGAAACATTTGAATTAAAATAACGTGACTTTTGATTTGCATCGAAAGTTCATATACAGTTAATCGGGGTCTTCTGCCCCTAAGGTTTCCACATCTTGTCTCATATTTCATCTATATAATTCTGTTCTCGAGATTAAGGAAAGATAGACGGATAGACGACAGTGGGAATTTATAGGTCTATAATTTTTCCAAATTGCAACCCAATAATTTAGATAATTATTGCAAATAATTAAAAATAACGCCGTATATACAGATATATATTATTTAT